GGCGGCCCCCAGGGCACGGGAGGCCGCGGACCGTTGCAGCAGCTGCGTGACCACGGTACGACCGGACCGTTCTCTTGTTCTGCCGCCGGGAAGGCTGAGGCGACGCTACCTGCTAAGCGCGGCACCGTGAGGCGGTAACGCCCGTTACAGCGCGTTGGAGAATAACGACGAAGGCGCTTTGCTCGCGGCAGGTGACGTGTCCAGCAGGCAGTACTGCGCTCTTCGCGGACCTCGCCCTGTTTTAACCGGAGAGCGTGACTGAGGCGGACGGTACTGCCAGAGCAGACCGAGCGCCATCCTCTCCGGGGCGGGAGAAGCGACACCACCGCCTGAGGCGCGTCGCTGGCGCCGCAGCCCTTCCCTGCGCCACCCCAGTTCAACCAGCAGCCGCTTCAACAGCTTCACCTTTAAGAAATCAGCTCTGTAAGTGAAATGCCATTTGTTGGTACCTTCCTGGCCTCTGAATTGCTTTTAAGGAGATCATTAACTGTTTTAATTTAGCATTATTTTCTTGTCAGAATTTCCTTCACTGCCTACATGGCAGCTAGATAAACGCTCTTTAGATACTGTCCACATAAAGCATTTTACACCAAAGAAATGTGCTTAATGATCATATAAGGCTTTAAAAAAGATCTCCAAGTACTTCACAAACATTAAACTGGTGGAAAGTACATTACACAGAAGTAAACCAAAAGAAAGGTTCAGTGACTTGCCAAAAATCATGCAGTGAATCAAAACCAGCTGGAAAAGTAACATAACTGCATGTTCTCACTTCTCTTCAAATTGGTAAAAGACACTGTGGAAGGAAAAGCGCATTGTTTTAAAACAAAGCATAATGTCCTGCAGGGAATTAATCAATTTTTATTCACGGGGGCAGTTTATCTCACCCTCTGCCCAATGTGACAGATATAAGCTCCTCTGTAGGAAAAAAAAAAGTCTTAAGAGTTGGGTTACTTGAAAACAGAGCACGTTCCACAGAGTCAGTCTTAAACATAAATAAATAAATAAATAAATAAAATCTCTCTCCTGCAACACTAGAAGTCTTATTTTTAAATCTGAGATACTGGATCAGAAAACCGTCATAGAAGTCTGAATGGAATTAAGCCTGAGAGAAATATTGTTGCAGGTCACTAATTTTAAAAGAAGAACATGAGTCAGAACAAGCCCAGAAACTTAGCTACTATCAAGCCAGTTCTACTAAAGATGGTTAGTTTGGGCAATTCAGCCAACAGAAATTTGTGTAATGAAAGTTATCACGTTCATTTTTTTTTCTGAATGTACATACTAAATATAAAAATTTCTCGTTTACCTTGAAATTATCTTGGTAGCTCTAGAAGAGTTACATACCCAGATAGCATAATTGTTTTGTTACCGATTTCCGTCTTTAGCTCTCAAGTTTGTTAAATCTAAAACATGTAGAAAAATACAATGCAAGTATAATAAACAAAGTCCCCATTGCCAATAGTTCTGCATGTTACAAAAGAACAACAGGCCCTCAGATGTCTGTGCCCGCTCTTAGTTGCGCAGCACCTGTGACCTAACTGTGGTTAGAAAACAATGGAAATTGTATAAAAAGAGTTAGGAAAAAGCTTTAGACCTCTTTTAAATGAGATATGTTTTGTCCAAGCTGACTACTACTTCTGATTTCCAGCTGCTTGTACAGCATCTAGTCTATTTGAAGAGATGCCAAGAGACAAAACCGATCCCACAGTCACAACCGGAAGGTTCTTCACTGACCATCATGAATGGTACTTAAAAATAAGGGTTTGCAAGTTTGTCAAGAAATCCTCCAAATTAAGAAGGTGTGCTCCCTTTGCTCAGAAAGGAAGAGAGCACACCAGAGAACTTTTCCTCTAAGAAAACAGACAGGCAGAAACATTTACAGGAGATAAGGTTAGCAAAAGAAGGAAAAGTAAGCATATTTTTGTAGCAGTGAAATCCCATCTTACATGCCATGCTGTTCTCTATGAAGACAGTACGATGGCGTTTGCATGATTCAGACTTGCCATTCCTATATAATTAATTCTTGTAAATTTAATTTCATCAAAACACTAATGAGAACAGTGGCTGCTAGTGAGCAAAGCAACACACTGGTAATGTGAAGTTCAGAGGGGTGAAAAATTACCTCACCGTCACAGCTTGCAGTAGCTATAATCTCTTCAACTTTCCCCGCTGTTGAGCTGAATGAGGATAGGAGCTGAGAAATACAACTATGTATCCCTGCTAATATTCTTCTAACTTTTTAGAAAACTTAGATTAGATCTAGTATAGGGATAAAGTATTAATCAGAACGGAACTGGAGACAAAAACAGTGGTTTTGCATCGAATAAATGGTTTTCTCAATAACTTAAACATACTCGTAAGAGTATTACAAGCCTACTATTGTATGTTCAAAACTGATAAATCTTCACATCTCTGGAACACATCAGTAAACTTTTTTTTATTCAGGTTTTCAGAAAGGTGACAAAAAGCAAAGCAATGAATGGGCCAGCGGTGGAGCGGAGAGCAGAATGCAGGGCTGCCCGTCGCCCGTATGCGAGTGTTTTATTCTGGATGAGAACAGTTCTAACAGGACTTTCACAAAGAAAAGTAGTATACTGAACAAGATCTTTTGGGAAGGGCAACAGAAACAAGAATTTCATTAAAAAGGCACTGTCCTCTTCTCACAGTAGTACACTCAGACGTTCTTCCCCTAGAGAGGGAGTATAATGGCAAGGGGGAATACAAAACAAGGCTCCAAGACCCAAACACGGCAGGCCTAATTTACAAGCAAATAAAAATAAGCATTACTTGCTGAGAGAGCTATAGGCACTGGGGTCGCGCGGCTCTGCAGCACTCACCTGTAATTGTTCTAGTTTCTGCAGAGTAAGGATTATGTCTCTTGCCCTTCTCCAGACCAAAGATCCAAAAAAGAATGCTTTGAAGTGTCAAAAGGTTTTAAGAAACGTTACACAAAACATTACACGTATCTATATACGTTATCATGAGCGTTCAAGCTGTAACAGGAGTAAGTAATGGGACTGCCAGAAAGGGGTCAAATACTAGGCAGCCAAATGGTTGCACCATGAGGTGTTATTTACATTCATTCAAATAGGTTTTGCCTGGCAATTGCTTCAAGTTACCATTAGAAGGCCAGAATAAGAACTTTATGTTAAATGCAAGACTCCTAAAATATTATTTAAAATATTCCTGTAAACGTGGGATCTGAAGTATTAAAATCGCCAAGAAAAACTGGTTTGCAAAACAGTTTTTTTATTGTATCCGTGCCACACACACTAGTGAAAAATAACACTCCTAAAAAAAGAAAAGAAAAAGAATGCTACCTCTCCACAACATTTTTTTTTAAATAAAACTTCAAGTACTCTTACATTAGTACAAAAAAAAAAAAAAAGTCTGATCTATCTGCCCCAACAGGCCACCACAACACACAGTAGATAAAACACAGTGGTTACAAATGTCTTTTTTGTTATTTCTGTGGCAAGGCAAATGGAGGGAAATGTTTCTATGAAAAAATATTGTGTTCTTAGGAAATCGTCACAATTTTATTCCACATGGATACAAATGATTATACTTGAATTTGAGGCCTTGGTGGCTTGAAATTATATAACAAAATAGAAAAATGGAAAACTAATATCCCCTACACCCTGTTTTAAAGGCAGGCACTACCAAGATTAAGGAGACTCCACAGTGTTGGTAGAGGATAATTACTGTACAAGCCATATAGCTATAATTACCTTAAGACTAAAATAAAATGCTACCGTCCTCCTAAGGCATAAACAATAATGTCTGCAAACAATATGTACACATCATACATATTTAAAACAAGACTTAATATAAACAATAATGAACATTATATACATATGTCTCAATTTTTCTTCACTGTCTTGAAATACAATTTAACTACACAAGTGATGCAGCAACATATATATAAATGTACTTGTAACTCTACAGTAAAGTTTAATTTTTAGTGCCTTCACAGCACATCAGTGTAAACAGTTTTACTTGGCTTTGTTTTATATTTTAAAACATTCCTTGTTGTATTTTCAAGATTTAAAGCAATTTTCTAATTCTTCCTTTTCACAGAAAACGAAGATTCTGGATGCTGTATAATCATAAATAATTCATAAAATTAAATACATTCACTAAAAAATAAACTACAAAGTAAAAAAATGAAAAATAGATATTTATTGAAAGGGAAAAGAGAACCATTTCCCCGAGTAGAGCTCTGGTGGTTGAATATTCAGTGCGTTTTGATATATTTTAAATTGCTATTGCACTATAACACCCCTTTCTTTGAAATTCTTTGGGTGTACTTCCCTGTTCTACCTAAATTAGTTTGATAAAACAAACAAACCAATAACCAAGGGGCCATGGTTGCTGTAAGAGTGAAGCCTTTAGAACGAGTATCACTCTTCCGTGATATCTTTTAAGAAAAAATAACCAAAAAAAACAGTCATTAGTTATGCACGTGCCTTGCACTTTTGTGTAAATACAGTTCACATTGCTGGTCTCATCAGTCCTCATTTAAAGAAAAAAAATGGATTCTGATAACTTCAGCTCACTTTGAAAATCTCTGTCCATTTTTTTTCAAAATATTTCCTCATGTTGTGGCCAGCCCTGCCTATGTCAGAATCATCTTCATTAAAGGTTTCACAGTTGTCAAAAACAAGCCTGACATCTAGCGAAAACGCTTCAAGATTCGGGTACCTGAAAGAAGAAAAAAGTAAATTATTTTGGGAAGACTGGGAATCAAAGGGGAAAAATATTTTAACTGTAACAAAAACAACTCTACAAACAACCAATGCATTTACCACTAACCACAGACTATTCAATGAACGCTCTGCATCTTTTATTTTTTTTTTTCCCCTTTTGGCATTTCTAATTTAAACATTTCCAAGAAAATGAACATCAGTGTAAGTAATAACCCTCTCATCGTTGTATTTGTTATTTGCATCAAAAACTTTGTAAGGGAGAATTTCAAGCCTGTATTGAGAAACAAACTATTTTTTAATTAACTTTCCCCTGTCAACAATTTTCTAGTTAAAATGCTATGGGAATATTCCATTTATTCCTCTCTTCTTGGGCTCAAGTCCTTTCCAAACAAGTGTTCAGTACACTCACACTTACCTCAAAGAGGCACAATCAGATATACAAAAGGCTGCCATGATCAATCCTGTAACACTTTCTTTGCTAATCTTTCTTATCCTGAACATACAAGGCCCAAATAGTGATCAAATATTCACAGAAATTATTAAAAAGCCAGTAAAAGGCAGAAGTCTACAGATATCAATGAGCATGCCTGCAGCATTTAAATCTCAAGCTCATGGGAGAAAAAGCCTCAAGAGGTGAAAAAGTCCTTTGTACCGTCCTAGGAAACTGGTTTGGTTGGAACTGATGGATGCTCGCGCTGGTCCATCTTTTTTTTTTTTTTTTTTAAATGGATAACAAAATTTTCTTTGGTGGGGGGGGAGTCATCAGAGTACAGAGGGATGCAACAAGGAGGGATGTGATAGTGGAACAGAACTGAGATTCCTTACATAAAATTTGTATAGGAATAATTTTTTTTTTCCCCTTTTTGTTGTGCAATCTAATTCCTTTTATTCCAGGACTATAAAATGACTAACCTCCATTACTGGAATGTTTTCTAGTTTCCCACAGAAGGGATACTAATTCACTCCATAGCTACAACATTACTTAAAGGGATTCCATTAGCTTAAAACTCATACACACAGTTTTTACTTACAAGTAACCATACTAAGATGCCTCAATGAAAAAAGAAAAAAAAAAAATTCCCTTTGGTTTTGTACATTTGACCTGGAAGTTTTATTATTTTTCAACAGAAGTCAGCCAGTTCCACAGGTTCCCCACCCGACATGCTCTTTCACTTAGGTATGGCAAAGAGAAAAAAATTATAAAGTTACGATTTTTTATTTTGACCACAAGTTATCAGAGAAGTGCCAGAACAGACAGAAGACCAAAACACCTTTTAACTAATTAAAAGAAAATACTGATTTTTCAAGTTGATATATAGCCTTGTAAATGTTTGCAGTACGTTTAAAAAAGATTTTTAAATGTACATTAAAATTTACAGTGGGTTTACTTACTGTCCACTACTTAGCTTGTCTCTAATGGTGGAAAAGTCCATAGGTTTTTTAATAACTTTCTTATAACCAGGAACAAGTTTCAAGTTTACAGGAAGTAAGAAAGGCCATGCATCTTCATGAGTTTCCAATTCTGAGAGGATCATGCTGAATAAAATAAGGTTTTAAATGAGTATTTTAAAGCTGTTCACATATTCACAAAGGCCGGTCCTGTTACATAAATTCACCCAGTTCTGTCAATCTGTTCACTTTATAAAGGCACAGTCCTGTATTCTGTCCTGTGCAAAGCTCAAAACAATGCCAGACATCTTAACTGAGCATTCAAAATAGCATTTAGTTCTCTCCAAGCCACCTATTTAAGAAACGAAATTTTAGTTATCGTTTTTAACATTCTGAAAGAGAAAACACTTTTGCATCTTCCATACTTTGATCCTCAACATAATCCGTTGATGGCTGCTAGTAAAATGGGTGCTAATACTAGGTTCCCAAAAACTGTGACCAGGTTAAACTGTGTCACTCCGGCTCACCAGCAGCGCAACAAGAGAAGATGCATCCCTACCACCGTCTCTTCCTCTGCGATGCAACAACGCCCTTTGGACATGGAAGACAGTCAATTCCGAGACATTTTAGGAAGCTGTCAGCAGCTCTCTCTCAGGGTCTTCCAACTTGTGGAAGTGCACGGAGGAGTAGGAGATGTCACAGACCACATGCTATCCAGAAATACACTCTCCTCTTGTGCTTCACTGCCAAATGTTAAATCCTTAGTATCTACAGTGAAATCATCGTGAACTGCTGTGTGAATACATGATAGGGAACAGGGTTCTTGTGACCTCTCTTTCCCAAAAAACACAGACAAGAAGAATTAGGCACTACTTGTTTCAACAAGGTTTACCCAAGTTTAGAATTTGTTGCTCTACAAACAAGCAGATCGTACCTGCAAATAGTCAGGTCCTTGGAGTCATCTCTTTTAGGTTTCTTAATAGGAGTGACATTTTCTTGCTTTAGTTGGCTTACAGAGACGTTTTCATCCATTTTTCTTTTTTTAGGGTCCATTTTGCCTCTTTTTAAGAAGCCGCTTGTAGTTGCAGAGTCTTCATCCTCTGTATCTCCCACTAAAGATAATTTCCTGCCTCTCTTTTGTTCATTACTTTTTTTCCCTTTGATTTGAAGTTTTTTCACCTTTAGAGTCTGACCGCTTGCCTACAACAGAGAGAACTGAAATAAGCAATAACGAAGAAATTACAGTAACCTCTGTGTTACTGAACCATAGCATAAAACCCATGAAGATCAGATGAATGGAAGCACCAAAACAATTGAGATGTTTAATGACTGAGATTACTTACTTCCTGTTGCTCTCTAAAGGCAAGCAAGGATTAAACATCCACATGACTAGTGATGTAGGTTTCCAGTTTGTGACAGTATATAAGCACCTGACTTTCAAACGGGTAGTACCTTGGATTAAAACAGGCTGGCCTATTTTTAGGCAAAGTAGTTGTCCACTCCTAAAAGATCGATGTAACCACAGATGCAATAATACATTCATTTTCTAACAACCAAATTATTTTCAAGATATGGAAAAATGGATTTTTTTTTTTTTAAAGTCAGGGGAGTAGGGATCATTAGTTTCAAGATTAAAAGCTAGATATGAAAGATACAAATACCTTGACTTCAAGATAACTAGAGAACATAAAAGGAGCATGAAAATTTGAAGAAGGCATAAACCAAATGGAAAGGAGGAAAAGTATTTAATCTAATACAAAGGTATTTAACAACAATTAAATTAAACTAAGAAAGAGTACACGTAAGATGAAAACATTAACAGTTCCTGACAGCAATGTCAGTTTTTAATGTGGACCAATGTGCTAAAAGAAATAGATAGAAAGCTATTATTTGGGGATTTCAAAACTACCCAAGCAAAAGACAGTCACACTTGTTATACAAATGTCTCAACTGAAAATGGTTATGAGTAATAGGAGACATACACAGTCTTTTTTTCTCTCAAATCTACTGAGATCTATTAAAAAAAAAAAAAAGGCAACAGTAAGATATGCTGTACAAAATGAAAGAAATGATACTAACACTATTTTTACCCCGTATTTGTTTTTAAACACTACCTAAAACATTGGTCAAC